GATCTAGAACCAAGTTGCCAAATAAAATCGGTAGATGAGCTTTGGTCGCTGAAAATAACTGAGTCGGATTTCAAACCGTGAATGTGCCTGATAGTTAAATCGCCAGAGACGGCGATGCACTAACGCCCCTCGATTCATACCCATCGCGTTCTAATAGCAAGGCTAAACCAAGACGACCTGACGTGGAAGTAGACGATGGCTTATAATTCTAGGCAGCGCGCCCCTGCTTCACAGCAGATATGATCTCTAACTACTTGTGCTGGCCCTAATTTATTTGGGCTTCTTAGGTGGCACAAAAGTGAGAATGTTATGGAGGCTCCAAATAGACAGAGAGAGAATCATTGAAGAGTAACATTCGGTTTTCAGTTGGACCAAGTTGTTCTGTCCGTTGGTGGTTCTCGAATCAGCGACTGTTGGCGCGCCTTGATCGTTCAAATGTCGGATTTTGACTAAGGTGATCCGGCACCCGTCATACACCAGTAGCTTATCCGGATCCATTCGATTGGGGATAAGTTTGCGGGCAGTACATGTAGTAACCTAAAATCACGCCTTTTCGTATGTCAAATACATATTCGAATCTGATCCGGTGCTCGACCCTTCTTCTTCTTCCTCACCGATGCAAATACCTGGAACGCGAAAGTCCTCCTGTATTCATATTCGAATCTCTCACAGAAGTGAGAGATGCCATGATGGCCCATTGCGCGGTATGCTATCCTGAGCGTGTTAGATGAGGATTTGTGAATTTCGCTCAACGGACCCCGTATTCCACATGCTTAGGCAGCTTTTATTTATATTTTGGCCAGGTTTGGGTGGGACCGGCCATCATGTGATCTCTTGACCTACATTTATGGCATTATCTAGAGATTTGGATTCAGCCTATCCCGATGATGTTCGAGATATTTGCACATACACGAATGTTAACCTTTGGACAAGATATGGCGACACATACATACTTATTTGTTGCTTTCATCATCCCCGGAAGAGGACGAAGAAGGGGCAGTTCCCGAGACCAAGTTGTATTTAAGCTGATGTTTCGAAAGCATTCTCGCTTTCATTGCCAAAGCGTCGACTGAGTGTGTCTGACCGCTAGACACGTATCAAAATTTTGCCTGATATTCGCACGTCGATCGATTGTGCCGATCGATTGCGGGCGCCTCCATGAGATTTGGCGCGTTGTTCGTGTGCCTTCTGAGCGTTTTCACCTTCTCTCGTGGCTGTCGGCCCTGCGTATCTTCCTTCGGTCAACCTGCTGTTCCGTTCCGAGCAGATGTTAGCCTTTTGCGAAGCGCTTGGTAGGCGGGATGAAGGTCCATGGCTCTGCTTAGTGTGCCAGTCGAGGACCAACTTTCTGGCAACAATCTGGCCATCTTGTCGTTAGCTCTGCCTACTACACTTGCTTTGTCAAAGGCGAACGTGTGATTCTTCTGCTGTAAATGGTCATATATTATAGACAGCTTGTCCTTGCGGTTGATGCCTGTTGATGTTCATGCAATCTTGTGCCAAGGCGTCTGCCCGTTCCACCAACACACTTTGCATTGCAGTCTTAGCATGGTACGCTGTAGACCACAGCTGATTGTTCTGTCAACAGTAGCAGGTCTTTGGGCCTCATGTTCTGCTGTCTGATGGTTGATTCCGGCCTACGAGCCACACTGATCCCGAATGGTATCAGGATTCTTGCAGCCGCCTCTGATACATTCTTCACACAAGAGATTGCGGGCCAGAACTTGGGGTCCTCTCCTTTCGACCGCCGGGCTAATG